TAGTTTCTTCATCTTCTGTTCTTTCATATAATGAATTATCTTTCTTTGTGTGTTAATTATTTCTTCCAGTTCTTCAGGTTGGTAGGTGTCATAATATAACTTTTCTTTTTCATCATCAACCTTCATATTATCTTTTTGATATTTCTTGACTTCAACGAAGGTAGGGTCATTATGAACCGACGGGCTAAAAATGAATATACGGGCGAAGCAGTCCCTATAAACATTTAGGATAAGGTTTTGAATTAAAACTGTTTTGCCACCCGTTGATGAAGCAACAACAATTGAGCGAAAAGGTAGTTTTGGTACATGTTCATATTTAGATTGTTTGAAATCGTAATCAGTTATATTTATTGGTTTTATTATTGGAACATCAGACATAATAAAATAATATTAAAGTTATTTAGAAAATATTTTATATTTATTATTTTATATGAATAGAAGTTATTCAGATTATATTGATATAATAGATAAAGTAGAAAATATAGAACAAGTAATAATAACCGATAATAGATTTAAGAAAGTATGCTATTTTGTTTTAGAATTAATTAAGTTTGTGATACAATATATTAAAAATATAAATATTAATATAGATGGGGAGAAAGAAAAATAATAAGACAGAATCAGTTGTTTCTTCAACTGATGAAGAAAAAGAAGAAATTGTTAAAGAAACATCAGTTATTCAGTTTGCTTGTCCAATGTGCAAAAAAATCTTAGAAATGAAAAATGAATTAGAAATACAAAAGAAAGGAAACTGTAAATGTTCGTGTATTCCAGCCAGTTTCAAAATAAGTAAGAATGATAAACGAATAAATATCGATAAAACTAAAGACAGTATAAACTTAGAAACAGATGTTCATAATATTGCTATACGATTTGGGAGGGGAGTTACTCCATCAGATAATGGTGATAAGGAAACTCAGGAAACTGTTAAACAAATAATGAAAAATTAGTATTTAAAGAGTAGATTTAACATAATTGCAACATTTAGTTTTAAAAGTTTAGTTTTATAATTTAGTATATATGGAGGAACATTTAGCGAACATTGACAGTAGTTTAGAGTTGTTGTTTCCAAGATTAGAAAAAGTGTTGGAGCAAAATGAAAACATACTGAAAATCTTAAAGAGCTTGAATATTAAACCTACATATGATAACAATAACAATTATCAAGCAAAAGAAGTAGATAGAGACAGTAGCGAATACAAAAATAAACGAAACATTTATGTTAAAAAACTGAATGAAAAAATCATAAAAGAACCTAAACAATCAAGTCTGGATTACTATCAAGTCAAGTATAAAGAAGATACCAAGAAATACGTTTAATCATTAACTAACAAAATTTCGTGTCTCAAAAGCGGTTTGTTTATTCCTGCTACTTTGTAAGTTTTATTACCCATAATATCATATTCAATTTTATCAATATTGAATATTTTATTAGACCATTTAGAGTTATACTCCTTTCTGTCGGTGTAATTACCCCTTTTCTTTTGGAACACTTTTACCTTGTCGTTCTCCTCTATTTTGGGATACTTTCTTTTGTTTTTTTCTCGTAGTTTAAGATTGACCTTTACATTTATTTCATTGTCGTCCTTGTGTGCTTCAGACGGTGCCATCCTTGTTGATGAGTGAGATGTGCTGTTATACTGTTTCAATGCTTGCGTTAGGGCATCGGTCCATTTCATGTTGTTAAACCTAACTCTATCGTGAATTTTGTTTTTCATCGTTCTAATAAAACGCTCGGCCACATTTGCGTGGGTCTTCGTGACGATGTGGTTTATTCCTTCACTGTTGAAGAAATCCTGAACTTGATTTTTAGTTGCAAACGCTCCGTCGTCATCAGAATACACGGACATCGGATAACCCATCTTTTTAAAGCTTGTTCTCAACGCCTTCAAAACGTGCTCTCCGTCTCTTTCCTCCATCGGTATTACATCAGCTAATTTACTGAAGATGTCAATCACGACTAAAGCATACTGTGGAACGATCTTGTCTTTTGCTAAAGGTGACATATGCATTATGTCTATTTGATATTCATATCGCGCGAATGGAGCGGTATAGGAATTAGTACCTCTATAATTTTTGATTTGTTTATTTGGTTGTTTCTTCAAGAAAGACTTTACATCGTCTATTGTTATTGTTGGGTCTTCTTCCTTTGCCTTCTTGTGTGTCGCTTGTGTGCTTCCGAAACCCTCGTCTAAGTCGTAATAGATGTTGCTGATTATTTGGTCTTTTGTTAATCTCGCCATTATATTAAATTGTTAGAAAAAAAATATCAACATAAACCCCGCCCCTTAACATAAAATAAAAACTACTTAAAGAAATATTAACTTATTATATTAAGTGAAAATATGACTGAAATAAGATTAGAGGACTTGAATTTAGAAAATGTCGGAGTGATTGCTGACTTATCAAACTTGGTGCTATCAGACGAAGAAGATGATGATAATGACAGTTATAAAAAGGAACTAGATGACGAGTTAAACAAAATAAAGGATTTCATCAAAAGACACCCTTTGCCACCAGTTGATGAAAACGAAGAATTCTGGAAAGATGTTATTAACTTGTTTAGGGATAATAGCGGATTAAACTTGATGGCAATATACTCATTTGTTAGGTTTGACATCTTGAAAGAAATGTATGAAAACCTAACAGATGAAGACATCATAAGAGACTGTGGTAAAAAGTTAAACCGAGATGGACAGTTTAATGCTATGATTATTAATCACTATATCTTATCAGGAGCGATACGGAAACTAAACACAGAAGACAGTCTAGTAGATGGTCAGATGCGAATTATTGAATTCTGGTGGGATGGAATAGGTGGATGGAAAGCGTGAGTGATTTAGTTTAATGATATTATTCAATTATAATATGATTAAACCTAGTTTTTATAATCTAACAACAAGGTTAAGACATTTAAATTAAACCTGAAACCCAGACCAGCCGACCAGTAACCCCTAGCCAAAACTACTTAAAGAAATATTACCTTATATATTAAGAGAAAAATGAACGGTGATGGAATCAATAATTATATCGATAAAAAATGCTATGATTGTTGTCACTTCAAAAAAGAAAATATGGAATTGTATAAATTGAATTTGCCTAATGAAATAGTGAATAATATTATTAATTATTCAATGGATGGTGAAGAAGACATATGTAAAAATTGCAAAACATGGAGAGGTAATCAATTTTTAATGAAATGTCTGTTGGGAATAAAAAGAATACATAATAGAAATGTAGAAGATGAGATTTTAATATGTCTAACTGTAAATAAAATACCACCTTACGATTATGTTAAACAGTTTCTTAAAATCAGTAAGAAAAAATATGAAATGATTGATGATATATTATGGATGTTGGGTTATAGTCAAGAGAAAGGGGAAGATGTTAAAGAAAATATCAAATTATTTATTGAAAGTAAAAAGTTTAATGTTCAAATACAGTGAGAGATGTCAATATTATTTTTAAAATGATGTATGAAAGAAGTAAGACAAACCAATTAGATTATTATCCTGAACTGAAATTATAATCATAATATAATAATAACATGTAAAATCTTATATGTTATAATTATATTGAACTTATGGTTTGTAACACCCCTTAAACTTATCTAAAGAAATACCCCCTTAAACATATAGAGACCGATGACAGACAAAAAGCAATGTTCCAAATGTAAAGTCTTTCAATTGTTAGAAAAGTTCAACGAAGGAAGAAAACAATGTAATGTATGCTTGGAGAGCAAAAGGACGGTATAGAGAAGCACACAAAGAACAAATACAAGAGAAGGCAAAGGTTTATTATGAACAAAACAAGGAATACTACAAAACATACCAACAACAATATACTCAGACCTTGATTGAATGTGATATATGTAATCGTCATTATCATCAAGGCAAGCGCAAGCAACACGAAGAAACCAGCTTTCATCAACACAACCTCAAACTGAAAAAAGAATATGAAGAGCGTCATAAAACAAATACACCACCAACACCCCAGAACATTATAACTACTATAAGGGCTAACTCTTTCAAATGAAAAAAATGTCGGCCCCCAGCCCAACAATGAAACAGGCGACGATTTACCCAAATGATTACCTTAACGAAAACGATAAATAAGCTCCCCAAAAACACCCTTTTAAAAACGGATAAGGTGGTTAATAGGTTTGAGATGAATGTAAAAAGCATAACAGGCAACCATCAACAGGCTTCCCCTCAGCTTCACCCTTTCTTCCATTTTTTTGGGGGGGGGGGTTGGTTGGGGGGGGGGCACAAGGCGGTTGTTCAAGCACTGTGGACATGGTTAATCCCCGTATTCAAATCCGGTTTCTGCCATCCCGGCTTTTGCCTGGCAGGTCTGGGGAAAACAGGGGTCCCTAATTTGCCCTTGATCTCAAGCATCAGGGAAATCTGAGAAGATATGGGGCCTCCTCCAGCATTATGTTGTATTTTAGGACCACAAATGATGCAGGTTCGGAACGTATTCTTTTCTGTGTACCTCTTTGTGGGCCAAGGTGAGGGGAAGTGTACCTAGGGTGCCCTGCAAAATGGTGGTGGCCCATGCAGCTGGCCATTCGGGCCCCGTCGGGTTTGAACAAAGGGGCGCCTGTTTTTCTCAAAATGTCGGTTCATTGCTAAAGCCAAAAGGCTTCCTTCCTCCCAAAGTGATGGGTTTTTTGTTGGTTGTTCCGTGTGAAATTCATTTAATTCTCAAAATAATTATGGAGTCCTCTTGTTGGATGGTATGGTGAGCCAAAATGAAGCCAATCACCTGAACCCTGCTGCACCAGGGGTCCTTGATTGTGAGACGTACTTGGATGTCCAATCAACTTACCCAGTGGGTTACAGTCATGGATATATCTGGAGTAACTGGCGTTGGTCCGCTGATATAAGTTATAGTTTATACTACAGGAAAAGCTTTGAATACCCAAGCACCCCTGTTCTTTGTCCGCGAACTCGCGCGCCTTTTTGTCGAAGCCGCCATCACGAGGCAGAACCACCCAGATGTTTACCGATGCAGAGGAGCTCGAGGACCTCCCGCCGCAGGAGCCGAAGAGAAGCCGACTCCAACGCCACAAGTGAGCCACGTGCTCAAAACCCGGGTGCAAGGTGGGTAAGGGACCAGCCCTTGCCAGAAAAAAATCGCCGCAGATGGCCGCCTTCTGACAATTCCTGAAGCAAGGTTCTGGGTAGACCATATTTTAGTACCGGGTTTTGATTGTGACTCACTTGTGACTGATGGGTCTCTCGCCAGATCAGCATATTGTGTGGCTCAAAATTCACGAGCTAGGGCAAGCTGCACGTTTTAATCCTCGGTTTCATTTAGCAAGGCAGCATTTTTGTTCGTGTTGTTGAGCCACAGCCAATATTTTGAAGAGCTACCTCCCATCCACAAGCATGGAAGCTGAGACTGGTCTCCTGGAAGACAATTTGTCTCTTACAGGGCCCCTTTGTTGGAGGCTACGTGGAGAGGTTATCTTTTGTGATGGTAGCTCAATCGAACCACGCAAAAGCCGTGGTAGCCTGGGCATCCGAATCCACATCCGCAAGGCAGCCTAAAGTGGCAGTTTGTTCCATCGAACCCTTCCCTAGGAGCCTACCGGAGGAGGCTCCGAGCTGAAAGCGCAACCACAAGGTTGAAGCCGTTTTCCTCCAAGGTTTGGAGCAACTTCGCTCCAAACGGCTAAAGTCAACGACCCCCGTTGGAATTTCCAATCCAAGACCCTTTGGATTGGGGGTCTATTTCCAAGAAAAAACCGCTTGGGTTGGGAAGTTGGCTTCGAAGCAAAACACAAGCAACTCTTCCGGTCTCGGGCGTTAGGACCTGCGGAAATTTGCGGAGCAGATCAGCATTTCTGGCTCGCCCTTCAGGCCGATTTTGGACGACTTTTTGGGGCCTAAAAACGCGTGACCATAGGTGTCCTTGGGTTAGTTTGGTTAGAAATAGGTGGGTTCCACTGGTTTAGATTGGGTGTATAAACCATGTACCAGGGCCATTAAAATTCCAAGCATATCCTTCCGGTATAGGTTCAGGTGGAAACCCTGGGTTTGCAACTGGCACTCTATATATATTATATATATACATACATATATATATATAGTATATAGGTTTGCCCAACCACAAAGAGCCGTTTCTCCAGGATGTCTGCTTGCCCCACTTGCCACGTGATGTTCCCACTTGTCACGTGACGTCCTGCAGCCATAGCCATCTTAGGGAACCCACGCTCAAAACCGCGGCAGATCTTCTGTTTGTTGCAAATCACAGTAGCGCGGTGTGGAAGACCGCTCCCAGGGGTCGGAGATGGCTGCTAATTGGCCATGGGTCAAAATCCCGTACCTCGTGAACATCCCAATCCCCACTAAAATAGACTAACATGGGTGGTGCACCTACCCCAAAATGGGATCCCAGTGGTTTTGACCCACAGCCAATTGTCCACAGCAATTGTCCGTTTGACCTTTCCAGCTTCGCCTCGTTGAGTTGCGGTTCCAGCAGCTGAACCTTTTATGTCCAGCTCCCTTGGGCCGGTGAATGCAAATAAAAACGAGGGGGGCATGCCAGGGATCCTTCTTTGGACATGACAACAAAAACGCAGAGGCTGACCAGCCTCCAATGACTGCATTTCAACAATGTCCAAACATCCAATTGCAAGCTGTCCCTTGAAAGCAGTGCTTGGAAGCTGGCAGTTGTCAAACCAATTAAGCAGGTTACAGCCAGGATTTTATTCAGGGAGTTTCCCCAGTTAGCCCAGTTATGTCCATGGTTATAACTATATAACCTACTAAGTTGTTGAACCTCCGACCAAGGGTCACCTGGTGTGAGTGCACAAGCCTAGTCCTTTTATAGCCTTCCTTGCTGGTGTTCCCCCCCCAAGGGAAAAAAAGATCAACCCTTGTTCAAAGGCAATTGTTCAGGGATGGGCTCTTCGAGGCACGGAGATTATCTCATCCACTTGGAAAAGGGGTATATACCGCGCTACAAGCCGGTATTGGTGGTATATGGGTGTGGGTCAAAATTAAACCACTAGTGGACCGTAGGTTTTAGTCCATGTTTCTATCTATTTTTGACCCACAGCCATATATAGCACCCACATCTTGGAACACACCTGGAGAAACCAAAACCAGGCCGGAGGAGCTGGCGCGGCTGATGGCCGCTCGGACCAATTGTTCAACCCATTGGCGTTCATCCCAGTATTGGATTCGTTTAACCATCCGGACTCAACTGGTGCGAAGCCTATTTTTGTTTCAGTAGCACTAGGCAAAGTCTTGTGCGACGTTTTGGGATGGAAGATCTTTAACATGAAGCAAAGAAGGGTGCCCTTTGCTCTCATGGCAATGTATTGAAGGTTGGGCGCGTGCCTTCCTTCTTGGGCAGGAGTTGACATGCTTAGGTGTGTATTTGGGAGGGGGGACCTCCTTGGAAAGAGACTTGTTCTCACCCTAAGACTGCCTGGCCCCTTGTTGATGGTTGTTCGTTGGTTCTGGTCAGTGTTCCTATAGTCCTTCAAAGCCACAGGCAAGGGGACACACCCTCAAAAAAGACACACCGTTGGTGTCCCGTTGAGAGCCTGCGCCCCGGGCGGCTTTGTCAGCTCAGCGAGGACGGAGAGTTGGACGCGGACGCGGAGTTTGAGTCCTGCACCGTGGAGTTCTACGCGGGGCTGGATAGGTGAGCCGGGACATCAGGTAGCCCGTCAAGTTGGTTGGGTATGGGTGAAAATTAAACCAGGGACCACAGGTGTTGGTCCTTCTTTCCATTTACTAGGGCTCCATTTTGGGTACCTGTGTTTGGCCCACAACCGTTTGGATACCGGTGGTGTAGGGATTTGAGCGGGTCCCTGGCTTTTGTAGCGGGTACATGGGAAACGCCTCCACAACACCACCAAAGCACCAATCCAAACCACCAATTCGTGGGAAGCTGAGACAATGCCTGGGGTTGCTATGTCCAAGTGAGCAGGTTGTAAGCATGAGTTCTACTAACTGGTTCCCCTTAATTCTAGCTCCATGGTTATAATGTGCCCACGTCCCGCGCAAGCAACTGTTGTTGGAAACCCTCTGCCATTTCTCTTTGGGCTTTAGCTTCAAGCATGCTTCAAGAAGCAGACAAGTTGGAGGGTGGCTGCTATCCTGGTTGATGTTGGTTTTGTACCCTCCTGAACCAATGCACGGATCCGTCTCCAGATGCTTTGCTTAGCCTTCGACAGGTACTTTCGAGTGACCGACTTGGCCTTTTTCAGCCCGACGGAGGCAGGATTCGAGTCTGGCTGTGTTATCAGAACATCCGCAAGGACCCTCCAAGGGGGGTGTTGGGTACCTCCATAGGGTTTTGGTTGCCTCAGGACCAATGCCTTTTCGTTGCCCCGTCTGATGCTTTGGGCTGAGTGGTTTTTGTTTCCCCAAAGGGTGCTGGCTTGCGACTTGAAGGCTTGAGCCTGGAGGTTTCGGGCCTAAAGGCCCCGATGTCCATGAAGACCCTTAAGAATTTGTACCAGTGAGGTTTTGGCACTTGTGTGCATGTGTTTGTGTTTTGGTTGTGTGTGTTGTTGCTTGGCGGGCGCTTTTTTATGGTAAATAATTGCTCCTTTTTTGGTGGGTTGTCTCATATCCTTCAAAAGTGAGCATTTACAGTTGGGGGACGTGTCAGAATAGTGCCCTGAACGCGTTGCTTGTTCTTTGGGTTTCCAGACAGGGCTTCCAATGGAAGACCCAGATCCCTTTTGGACACCCCGGAAATTGGGCTTGGTCTCAAGGCCTAGTTGTGTGTGAAGACCCTGACATCGAAACTGGCGGGTTTCTGGGAAATTGGGTTTGGTCTCAAGACCATGAGCGGATCTACATTTCCTCCCCACCAACAGCAGGCATTTCTGGGAGGGTACCTGGAAAATCGATTTCCTCGATGGACCCTTTGTCAGGTGTCATTTTAGTGAGAGGAAGTGTATCGCGAGCCGAAGCAAATCGCCAGGCGGAGCATCGGGAGCAACTTGTGGGCAGCTACTTCCAAGCAGGCGACTTCGACTCGGAAAATCCCACGTGGGCTGCACACGTCATCTCCAAAAGGTTCTATCGTTTTTAGGGGACCCCCCAAAATGGTGGTCTTCCTTTTGGTTTCCCCACGAAAGAAACACCCAAATACCCCGGCGTCTAGGGCAGGATTTGTTTAACCCTGAATAAAGGAGGTGTCTAAGGAACATGTGGCTGGGAGGGGGTAGGGAAGCACAGGCACCCAGAGGCTGAGAACCATTCTGGTGGGGATTGAATGATTGGTCTTGGAGGCGGGTGTCATGCTCCCCGAGTTGGATGTTATGCGGGTTTGTCAGAAAACGGTGGACCCTCCAAGTGGTGGTGTTCCGTGGGCTTCCCTTTAGCACAGCCCCAAAAAAGCAAACACACCACACCCGCCCGCCACCCACCCCACCCACGCACTCACGCACGCACGCTGTGGTTTCCATTGGAGCGCTTGGACGTGTTTTGGACAGTGCACTCAGGAAGTGAGCATGTGCTTCCATTTGGTTAAGAACATTTTTTATTTTCCCCTGTTGGTTTTAAAGCGAATCTATCACTACTGGACATATGTCTTTTTTTTCCAGGGGACTTAAGCAAATGAGGTGCGTCGGGAAAAATGAAAGTGGCAGGAATTGCACATTGGGAAGGTCAATTGGTGTTGTCACAATGGTTGCGCTGGAAATTCCCTTTTGAAGGGAAACAACGACGGCCCTGCCAACATATTGGAGTCATTTCGAATGTAAGACCCGCCCCCTTTTGACTTCGGACTTTTGAAGGGAGACCAGAAGTGTCATGTTTGAAGACATGAGCCTTCCTTTAGATGGCTCTAAGGGAAGCTAGGTTCGGACACCGGTCGTGGTTTCAGGGGTCTATTCATGTACCTAAAGGGTAAGCTAGGCTTACCCTGAAACTGGAAGACAGGCCTTCGGATGATCCTTTTGAAGTTTACTGTTGTGCTCCAGCACCCCCGCCAACAGCTGGAAAAAACAGCTGTTGCGGGGTACTGGTTTTTGGGTTTTTATTTTGCTGGCTTTTGTCAAAATAATAATGGGTTTTGCTCACAAGGGTTGGACATTGAAGCAAGAGGAAGAAAGCAGGACCGTATTCTCACATTCCTTGCCCACCATGTTCCCTACCAAGGATTCTGATCCCCCGTGTGATGATATCGAATCATTGGCGATGGGAATCGTACTCGTTATCACAGGACCAGGGTTGCTTGCTCTCCGGATTTCTTGCAGGGAACCAACTTTCAGCCAGGTTTGGTGGTGAGGAAGCTTGTGAAAGATGACTTCTTGAGTGCTTAGGGATGACCAAAAGCACCACTCGGGTGGGTCGGTTCCTGATCTTTCGTAGCGCGCAGGCCGCCACCAGGTGTTGGGCAACATGACGTACGAGGAGGACGTGGGGATCATCGTCGGGCTCAGTGCAGTGGCCATGGGAAGCCCAACCCACCCACCCCCGGTTCTTCTTTGGTGCATTTTGCCGAGGGATGTTAGGACTCAATCACTTTTTGCCAACTAGTGGGGTTTTCCGTATTCAACCACTAAAAGTTGAACTTTTGGCAGGGGAGCAGAAAGCAACCGAGTCTTGCAAGTCCCAGGATAGAAAAGCTGTAGCTCCCGTGTTCCGTCTCAAAACATAACAGTGTTCCCTAAGGGTCGCTCACTTTGGTGGGGCTACCTGCCTTTCTGCGGTATGAAGGCAGGTCATGCTCGAACGCCAGGAAGAAGTTGTGGAGCTGGTCGAGGAGGATTGCAACGAGAGCAATGAGAGCAACGCGAGCAACGACAGCAATGCCAGCAACTTCAGCACCGCTCCCAGAGCCGTACGACGGATGCTCGATAAGGCAAGTGCAACAACTTGCAACCCAAGGGCAATTGGCTCTGATTTTACCCGTTTTGGGTGCAACTAATGATCCACAGGTTTGACCTGCTTCTGGAGGGACCTTTTTGTGTGCCCGCGTAATCTCCCAATACCCGCTTTTTGTTGGTTGACGTCAAATGATGTCAACCCCGTGGCTTAAGACGGAGGCGTTCTTCACGGGAAATTATTTTTCCATATGCCTTTGCACAACATGGGTGTTTGGAGTGGGGGGTATGCTGACTCAGAGCCATAAGGACGAGGGCTGATCTTCCCATGGCTCTGAATCACTGGACTTTGGGCACGGCTTGGCCAAAAGCGTCGAGTTCTTTGGGAGGCGACTTTTCGCGGCCGCTTCACGGGCCAATCTCAATGGACAGAGGCTCTGGCCCAAAGCCTACAAGCTGAACCGCAGCCCAGGCGGTTGCAAGATAGACCTGTAAGCGCCAGTAGGGTGGTTGTGGGAAGCCCGCTGTTGGGACGAGCTAGCCTTTCCCTGCCATCTGGCTTCGCAGGTGGGGATTTCGGTTTATCGCATTGTTCTTTTCAGTTTGATTCAGGCCCGTAATTGGTGGTTTGGATTGGCGGTTGGGATTTGAACCCTGGTGCTTGTAGAGCGTAAACGGGAAACCACCCCTCAACACCAAGCCACAAATTCAAGCTACCAATCGCTGGATCTCGAACCAGGCTGTTATCAAGTTTTAAGCCATGCAACCTTCCTGTCGAGTTGGCGAACTTGAAGGGCTTAGGTGTCTTCATCATGTCAGTCACCCGAGAAGTCCAAATGCATGTGTTTTGTCAATGTGGTTTTGCTCCAACCGGGGTCTCATCCAAAATTTGTTGAGACATTTGGACTGACCAAAAAGCACAGAAGCTGACACATGTTTGGTTTTGTCGACCCCAGAGACTTGCTACAAAGCCTCCTCTAGTCTGGACTGTGCTCTGGCAAGGATGAAAAGCCTTTCTTGCAGGGGGAGGGGAAATCAGACGGGCCGAAGACTACCAGAACCCGGAAATGACTGCCTTTGCCGCCCATGTCCAAAACACCAAGCGCTGTCCAAAAGGCAGTCGTTGGGACCCGGCTGGTACGTTTCTTGTTGCTCCTATCATGCCTGATTTTGCTTCACCAAAATCCCGCCCCATTTTACAAGTTTAACTTGCAGCAGCAATCCGTGACTCGAGCCGATGTCACACATCTTGTTCGGAGAGTTCTTCAAAGGGAAGTCCAGTCTAATTTCGGGCGAGCTTGTGGATCCTTCCATGAACCAGCGGGTCATACCAAGTTCATATACCCAAAATACAAACACAATCAAACGGGCAACAGGAGTGGCAGGGGACAGTCCCAATCAAAAGATTGGTGCAACCATCCTGTTGATTCTTTACAGTCTTTTGGGTAGACTACTTCAGTACCAGGTGTTGATTACTGTATTGTTCCTTTTGAGCTTAGGGTTAAATTCGGTTTTAACAGACTGGTTGGCCCAACTTAGAACAAACCTTGGAAAGATAAACAACGGTTATATCATAATTCAAGTATTGTTTCTATGGCTTGAACCCCCAAGATTCAAAACCGTTGCTGAATTGCAGCATGAGGCAACTGCTTCACACCTCGCGTGAGAGCTGGGGAGCCGAGTTCGCCTTCTGAGCCTCCGGGTTCGACGGGGTTCATCGAATTGCGACTGGTGGACCTCGGGAGCCCAGGAACTGGTATCCGAACGTGCGAGCTACTGAGCTACAAGCAGGTCTGCGGCACATTGCTGCACAGTGATGGTTGGATGTACCAACTTAACGAGGTTATACCATGTGAAAAGGAAGTGGAAGAAATATCCACGCGGACAAATGTTTGGTCTTGTGTATTCAAGACTCCTTTTCTCACTTTCTCCAGGTTCTGGACTTGCTTTTTGGGAAGACCGTTTTAGCAGAGTAAGCGCAGGAGGCATCTCCGCTCATCACTGCACTCGATCCGCCCAATCCGCAATTCACGCGTGCACTTGCGCCTTGTTCTTTTCTTGTTTTATCGGACGCCACGGCAATATGCGGTAAACAAAGAGTTTGGGCCGTGTTTGGCCCATCGTTTCAGGAACGAGGTGTAGCCTTTGCACAATCCCAAGGATTTTCAGCTGGACGCATTGGCGAAGCTACGACCAGCCTGGACCCCCCCCAAGAAAGAGAGAAGAGAAAATAACAACAACGCAACACTAGGTGTGTTGACACGGATTCTCCCATTGGCAGATCCAACGCTTTGGATACCACAAAGAGTTTCTCCTAACAATGGATGTGCTTGATGATTTGGCTGTACTCTCCTGCACATGAACAACAGAACAGTTTTCAACTTTGGTTTTGAGCCCGTTTGATCATGGCCGTGTGTTTGCGGAGAAAATGGGCCACGATCAACAGCTAGCAGCCGATTGTCTCTTTTAGCAATACGTTTGATGTCTCTAAACATGGTGATGGGTTACAGGTTGTTGTGGAAACCAACCCACTTGCAGGTCTCCAAGACATAGCCGCCGCTTCATACCCCCAGCGGTAGGGCGGGGTGGGGTGGGTTATCAGTTCCCCCCCGGATGATGTTTCAATATGTCGGGTACCCTCAACAGAAATGGAAAGTCGACCTTTTGTGTAGCTACAATCACAAATCTAACTGACCCGAGTACGTCCCCACGCGCAAGGTCCCCCGCTCCGACCCGGGCTTTTGGACCATTGACACCAGGCCAGGTGAGATCTGTTTCTTTAGTCACCTTGGGTTTTCTTATTTTTGTTTGTTTCAGGTTTATCGTGCCGTGTTCCTCTTGAAAATGTTGTTACGTCTTGTTCTCTTGCCGGTTCTCTTTTGGCTTCTTGTTGCATCTGGTGTTGCCGGGGCATAACTTCAGGCCTCCAGCGGTGCCTTCTGTTTTGCTTCTTTGGACGGTGTTCCTTGAAATTCAACGGCCCTGAGAATCTCGCGATCTTTCGGTCAATTTGGAGGGTCCAGCACCTTCCGATGGAGGTCCTGCCCCCCCCCCATTGTTGTTTAGGGGACCAAAGAAATCAATCAAACGGGGAAAGCGCTCTTTCTTATTGAGGACACTGGAAAGGCAGGACACATGTCAGCTACAATCAAATCCTGTGCAGCTGAAGGGTGTTAGCGGGCTGTCCTGCCAGAAATAAGTGTGGTTTTCTGCCTTCCTTGTTTTTCTAGTTGGGAACGCCCTCAGTATTGGTCGATACACATGTAAACAATGTCCAACAATAGCTTGCCAGACAAAAACATAAAATCAAAGAAATGCATACACGAGGTCAGGGAAACCGTCACATACGTGGTTATGCCTGGTTTTCCTTCCAAACAATCGAAAATTCAAGACCCAGAATTGGTCAACATATGGGTCTATGGTCAGTAGCCCGAGCCTTCCAGTACCGCATCCACTCGGATGAGGGTCCATGTCTGCTTCACGGGTATAGCGAAATGACCTTGACTTGGGTTAGATCTTTAGACTTTAACTTTTGGGAAACAACTATGTTTTGCACTAAACCCCCAAAAAGTTAAACTTTTTGAAGGGGGGTCAACAGCAACCAAGTGACTGAGGGATGCATCTTACGGATGGTCCCAGTGCGAATTTGGTCGGCCATGGAATTCTGTGGGTGTTCCAAATGGGCGGAATGAACCATGAACCAGACTGTCCACAAGGGAAGTCTGGATTCCCGATTGCTTCTTTCTTCGTCTGGTCAAGGGAAAGTTACCACAACCCGAGTGCTTCAAACGAGTTTTCAACAAATTGCATCGAGCTCACGGATTCCGTTTTTTTGGGGAGCTTGTCTCCCTTGCTTGCGGTTTGATCTCTGGTCTAGGTCCGGTAGTGCCCTTTTGCCCTATTTTAGGGGAGGGTTCCCCTACGAAAATAGACTACAGAAAGAAATCGGGTACCCTGATTCTAACCTCTCTACTGGAGGACCTAGTGAGTAAAACAGGATGCAAAGCACCTCAACACTGGTGGCTGGACATGAGTAGAGGGGTCTTGACCACTCCAAGGCTATGGACC